TTGTCAGTGTACTTACATTGCAGCAGGCCAAGTAGCAGTAGAAACAGCAGCAGCTGTTGGCTAACAGTGAGCGGCAGTTGTTTTGGCCAAAACATGATCAAAAGTCGAACAATTTGTGGCTAGCATTTAGCCAAGTAGAAGAAACGCGGTGCGTCAAAAACGTTCAGAAACTGCAAAAATACAACAATAATACAAACACAAACACCAATACGCACACACACACACACACTCACAGATACAGAAACAGAAACGGATTACAACATTTGGCAAATAATCGTTTCTTTTTTTTTTTGGGTTTTTGAGTCTGTTCGAATGCGTCATACAAGAAAAGTATTTCAACTATGTCTCGAGCAGCGAATGTTTTTTTGTTGTTGTATTTTTTCGCCGTCAATAAAAAGCGTCAACAAAAAACGAATGAACAGCAGAAGAAGAAGAAGAAGTAAAAAAACACACACAGCAACTATAAAAAAAAAACAACGGCAAAAAATGTGTTTGGAAATCACTCTCACTTTTGTTCAATGCGCTTTTGTTGTTGTCTTTTTTTTAAGGTTTTGCCCGCGACGAGAGATACTCTAGCATGGAGGAAGAGCTTTGGGAATTGGGGCAATGGTTGGTAACGTTGTCTATAAGTGAACCTTAAATTCTATATATACCCTATATAATATATATAATAAACGAGATTTCTACATACATAGAGATCAGAGACTAGGGATCAGAGATGAAAGATAAAAGACAAGGAATAAAATATTCAGATATTGAAGAGATACATATTAAAGATTCAAGATCAGAGATCTATACAATCTAATATCTATACAATCAAATATCTATATGTTCTTCCACTATCAGGGATGCCTGACATAAACTTTATTATGTACTTTCTGGGAATTTAAACAAATAGCTGAAGAAATTAAGAAGAAAGAAGAAGAAAATAAGAAATTACCAACTATGTTATTATAAAAATTTAAATAATTCATTTGCTACTCTATACTAAATATTTTCTATGCTCTTGTAGACTATGCTTTTATAGAGTACTCCAATGTCGCCTTGCCAAAGTCTATATTTTTGTATCAAAGGGTCGTGATTATATTTGATAATTTCAACTATTTGATGCGGCCTTGTTTTAAACGTTGATTTGTTTTTGTTTTTCTTTTTGTTGTCTTTGTTTTTGTGTTTGATTTTATTTTGGAATTTTGTAATTCTATGCTTTGATTTTTGAGATGCATAGAAAACTTAAATGCATTTACACACTCGACTGCATAATTATTATTTGTTATGCTTAATGGATGTAAATATGATTTACACTTATTTCAAAATTGTTGCTAATTAAGAGCGCAAATAAAACTTTTATTTATTTTTTTTTGGTAAAAAATGAAAGCGCGCACGTTTCTCAAATTTTGTTGTTGTTTGTTTCATTCAATTGGTCTCCCATTTCAATTTCAATTCCGATTTGGATTTGCCGAAATGATAAGTATATATTGCCGTTTACACTAGGCTCATGCAAATGGGCCTCTTAGTGCCGGATTCGGTTTTACCGCTATGTTTCGTACATTTCTCTATTTTTATTTGTTTTCGTTTCTGTATTCACTTCGTTTCGATGGGATGCAATGCGATTGGCTTGTCTGTTGGACAACCTGCGCGCAGCACGTCTGCGTTTCAACTGAAATGGAGAGTGGAAAGACAACGGCTCGCACTTGCAACACGCGCCAAAAGCTAAAACCGAAACCGAAACTCAAGTTGAAGCTGAGCTCCAGCTCGAGCTCGAACTTAATCTCTCAATGCTCGCAAAACATCACGTAACATGTCTATACCCTGTACTCGGTAAGCAAATGATGAAGAGCGAGAGAGAGGGTCGATTGGTTTTCTTATGGTGTACATCAGAGATCGTTGACTTGAGATAAACGATTGAAGAAAGACATTTTAAATCGGTGACTTGAGATCATAAATTGCAATGAAGAGATCATAGATCAGTGATCACAGATTAGAGAACAGAGATCAAAGATCCCAGATCAGCGATCAGAAACCTGAATATAGAGATCAATTATCAGAGATCAGATATAAGAGATCAGTGATCAGAGATCAGTGATCAGAGAACAGTAATCAGATATCAGAGATCCGAGATGAAATACATAAGGGATCAGAAATTAGAGATTAGAAATCATAGATCTGTGATCACATATTCCAGAACAGAACAAATATCCCAAACCAGAGCTCAGAGAGAACTCTCTTTTTACCGATGCTACAAATAGGGTATATTCCAGTCGCGCGCACCCATTACTCTTATTTACATGCCTCGAGCTCAGTTTCAATTTCAGCTTCGGCTTCGTGAGAGAGATCAGAGACCGGCTCTTGCCTCTAAAAATTTGGCGCACTTGCGATTCCGACAAAGCGTGTTGGGGCGTGGCAGTTGTAAATGCGACTACATATAGTAAATGTATGTCTTATATTAAATGTATACATACATTATATATATTTATGCTTGTCTCTCAGCTGTGAAAGGTTGGACCTCTTATGGCCCTGTCCTGCGCTCACTGCGACGGTTAATTTGACCGCATTTTCAAGCTTGAGTTATTTATTTGGAAAATAAAAAAATGCGTTGGCCCAATTAAATGTACCATAATGAATCATTCGTGTTGAGATAAGACATTGATCAAGTGGTAACCGAATAAAACGTTTTTTAATGAAAGTTTTTTTGGCTGAATTGAAATATGAGATGAGTGTTGCTCTATGTCAAAATAAATTTAAAAAAGTCCAACTGAATATTAGTCTAAGGACTGCACTTAATTTGGATAAAAGGGGAAAAGTAATTTACTATTTTTTAATTTTGTTATATATATATTTTTAAGATTTAAAATATAAATAAAAACAACATATAAATATAAATATTTTTTTATTTTTTTTATTTTTAGTCAACACATTCGTTTATTTGATATATTATTATTGTTAATTTTGATCCTCCCCTCGTTTTTCAAGTTCATTGAACGCGTTTCCCTGGCATACGCATCCATACATATATGTATGTAGATTCAATAGAAAAATTACTTTACAGTACAGTGAAGCTTGCTGTGCTACGCACTGCTGCTCAAGGCATACACATACACACACACACACATACGCACACATATAGAGAAATTTGCATAACCAGCTAATTACTTGAACCAACAGTCAGACAGTAAAACCTTTGACGCCCACCTCAGTCATAATGCAGTTGAACTATGCTAGACATATGCTGTTAAATGTTTAATTACCCTCAACAAAGTGTTATGTAATGCACTTGCACACACACACTCGTACACACATACAAATGTGAGTGTACATAGCATATTGCTTTGCCTATTGAAGCACAGCAAATTGAGTGCATAGCCAGACGCCGTTGACAGAGGCAGACGTTGCGGTCAATGCATGAATTGCAAACAATTGGTCAGCAGCTATTTGGCCATAATTGACAACACATGAGCGACTAGTGTTTATTTGCGCCTTGCCCATCGAAGATGTTTAAATATTGACAATTTTACTACACTTACGAATGACAAGTTTCAACTAAACTTTCAGAGAGTTTTGCTTTTAAGTTTGAGTCAATTATATTTAGTAAATAAAATATAGAATTTGTAGGTTCATTTACCAATTTCCAATATATAAGAGTGTATGCCTTGATAAGCATATGAAAAGTTTGCGCAAAGTAAAAAATGTTGCATGCTTTTAGGCTGCTGTAAATATATTAAAAGCCGTCGCGCTATTCAGCATATCAAAGAAGCACAAAAACTGTTGCGTGCATTTAGGCGCAGCAAATAAATGCTGAGCAAACAACCATTTGCCATATTTATCTTTTAGATGTTGTTCAAGTAAGCATTTAAGTTTGAATTTCAAAATCTTTGAGAAAATTGGTCATTTCATAATGAATTATTTTGAATGTATATTCAAAATATAAATAGAAATTGCATTTAATATTATGTATCATGGTATTTGTGTTAGATTTTCTTTAACTTACCAACAAATAATAAAAGGCAAAATAAATAGTTTAGCATAACACATAAACATCTTCTGCAGAGCGTCTTTCTCTAGAGCCCGACAGTTCTGGGCGTGGCAATATTATTTTTAATTTAATTTTAATTGAAAACCCATCGAACCCATTAAAATAAACAGCAAAATGCAAAATTGCGACATTTAAAATAATTGAGTTAAATGTTTATTGTTCTTCTGACATTGTTTTTTTTTTTTTGTGTTTTGGTTTTTCTTTCCTTGTTTACAGCTAAATGTATAACAAATTAAATAACTAAATTTTACAATCAACATTCATAGCAGCTTTGTTGGAAACCAATTTGAAATTGTTATTAAATTAAGACGAGCAGCGAAATATTTATCATGCATATTATTATTATTCTTATTATTATTATTTTCGTACATAAGACATTTTAACAATTGTTTCACAGTTCAGCGACATTTTTTTAAATTATTATTATTATCTGCAGTTTGTTTTTTCATTATTTTATTTATGTTTTATTTTTACAATTACATTTATATTTAAATTGTTCTTTCGTTTAGTTTTTAGACTACGCACTACACTAACAATGATGTGTAAAAATAAATGTGATTTTTTTATTTTAATTTTACTTGTCTCATAAATTTATTTGTTTTGTTTAGTTTATTACTTTTTAGCATACTCAGAGTATGCTTTTCTATAGAAATTCATTTTGTTCTTTTGTTCTTGTTCTCGCTCGTTTCTCTGTCAAAAAAATGTTTAACATTTTATTTATTTATTTATTTTGCTGTAGGTAACGAGGTAAAGTGCGCCTTGTTCTGAAATCGTTGTCGATTTTGTATTTGTTGTTGATTTAGTTGGGTGGGAGGTGCGGTTGGGGGGCCAATTATCAATGCCACGCAAATAGCGAATGCGAGACGAGAAGATAGCCCGTTGTCACAATTATGCTGCCAATCATAATAGGAAAACCAACTCTGTGAACCAAAAGAAAGTAGTTGAAAAATAATTAGTTAGAGTTTTACCCATGTGAAATTGTTGCTTAAAATAATCTAATATCAAAACTTGAGTTTTTAGTGTGATAAATTACAGAAAAATACGTTATTGCAAAATAAATTCAATCCTGATGAATGTATACCTTTTTTTGTAAGTGATCTCCAACTAAATTTGATCAGTTACATGAACTGGGACTCCCCTCAGAATCACTTAGAATAATTTCTTGAGGGCGGAAATCAATAGACAATTGTCTTAAGGGCTTTCCTTCATCTTATTTCTATTGAATTCCTCTCATATATTTCTTGATCTTATTTTATCCTCTCTCGCTCTTTGCCTTTTTCTTTCTTTTTCATTCTCACACTTTGTTTTGTTTTCTCTACTCTATATCTGTTTTTCTTTCTCTTCTTGGCCCTATTTCCTCGAGCTTACCATTCCCTTTCCCTTTTAAGAGTTCATCTTAGTTTAAGATCTTTTATGTATTTTTCAACCTTATAAAACAGTTATTTTTGGTAATTAGTTAAAGCAATTTGTAGAACTCACTTGAAAAACTCAAGGAATGTAAATTTGTAGCCATGTTGCTCGGCAACGCCGGCACAAACAACATTCGCCGAGGCGCCAATCAAAGTGCCATTGCCTAGAAATAGAGAAAATGTTTAGTTTCAATATCGCATATCGTATATCGTAGATCGTAGAATGTATGTCGTATATCGTAACCCTCATGTATGTATGTATCGTATGTTATATGTCGTATATGGTAATTCGTATATCATATATCGTATAGCGTATATAGTATTACTTACCGCCCAAGCAAGCACCCAAAGCCAGGGCCCAGACCAGAGGCTGCAGCGGCAAATTGAGAGTGCTGTTCTGAGCTAGGGATATTGTGATCTTGACCATCATCGTGGTCAGCGGAATGTTGTCCACAAAGGCGGAGGCAATAGCAGATACCTACAGTTCAACATTAGATATATGAATCATATATGTATATGGATAAACGACTTACCCATAGTATAATCAATATAGCCACCATTAGGCGCTGATCCTCGCCCACGCCCAAAATAATGCCCTCTGTCATGTTGCCTATCCATTCGATCAGGCCCAGCTCTGTGAGAGCCTCCATGAGTATAAATAATGCGGCAAAGAACAACAGTGTGGACCACTCCACACGCGCCAATATCGCCTCCAGATCGTCAATATCAGCCAGTATGATCAAAAATATAGCACCCAATAGAGCTGTCCAGCCGAGCGAGAGACGCTGCAGCTCCGGCACCGAGTGCAAGAAGAACAGACTGATCACAAAGGTCAAGGCGGCGGTGCACTTGATCAAGAGCTGTTTGTTGCGAATGGGATACTAGAGAGAGAGAGATAGAGAGAGAGAGAGAGAGATGGAAGATGACTAATAATAGAAATATTATATATACCATGGAATACCCACCTTTGCTTGCAGATTCGCCAAAGTCTGTTGATAGTTGGGCGCTGGCTCAATGACAGCTGTCATGCGTTTCTTTAGGCTGCGCTTCAAGCGATTCACCTTCTTCATCAGTGTCTGACGCACCAGCTCCTCGTCCTTGGAGTAGGCCGACAAACTGGCCGCCGCACGTTTCCACACATGAATCTCATGTCGCAGCTCCTCCACCTCTGGTGAGTCCTTGAACTGCAGATCGCTGATGTTGCGAAACTTGAAGCGCAGCTGCAAATACGTCTGGACCATGACCAGCAGCACGCCGGGCAGCATGTGCAGCGTGAAGACGGCAAAGTTGACGCCCTGCGAAGGGAAAAACATTTCATAGTAAATATTTACAGGGTATGCAATGGCTCTCATACTCACGTTCTTGGATATGTAGCTATTGGAGGCAATGATGACATTGGGCGGATCGCCAACGGGTGTCAGGGCGCCGCCAATGTTCGAGTAGATGACCATGCACATTAGAATGGGCACCGGATTGAGGCTCATGACCTCGCAGAGACGTATCGTCACGGGCGTCATGAGCAACACCGTGGTCACATTGTCCAGAAAGGACGAGAGCACAGCCGTGAAGAGGCACAGGCAATTGATCAATGGCCAGACGTGTCCATTGGTGATCTTATAGGCATACACGGCCAGGTAGTCAAAGACGCCCGTCTCGGAGAGTATGGCCACGAGTATCATCATGCCGAAGAGCAACAGCAGCGTCTCCACATCGATCCAGCTCATGATTGTGGCCATGGAGGGGCGCGAGTTTAGCGCTGCCAAAATGCCCACCGACAAGGTGGAGGCAATGATCGCCGCAAAGGTGCGATTCACCACCTCCCAAATGATCATCACGTAGAGACCACAGAGCACCGCCGCCGCATAGAGCACACCATGCGCCTTATAGATGGGCGACTCGTCCACATTCAGCTGCAGTGGCAACTCGCCCTCGATGCTGCTGCTGAACTCGAAGCTGAGACGCGTGCCATTCGACTGAGCCAGCCAGCTGGAGTCGCTGGGCTTCAGCTCGAAGGTGCGCACCTTCTTCGTATCCTTGGTGGCATCGATCATCTCGAAGTACACGATGTCCAGTTGCCAGGGCTGGCTGGCATTCTCCGCGTATATCTCCTGCCCCAGGGCATCCAAGTAGCTGCGCGTCACCTGCACCCGCAGCACGGGCAGCGGCACACTCTCATTCAGCAGCAGCTCGTTCTCCTGCAAGCGGAAGGGTCCACGCAGGCCCAGGCCAATGCGCTCTAGACTGGACGTGGCTATGGGAAAGACTGGAATGGGAAGATATAAGAGAATGAGTTGATGTAACTGACTGCTTAATACTCGCTCATGATTAACTTGATCTAAATCGATCTATCTGATAATGTAATAGTGAATCTCTTGAGAGTCTCGAAGCCTTTATCATCAATCATTTTATCAATTATTGATCAATTTATATTATAAAACTTATATACTCGTTTTGCATTTCCCTACGGAGTATTAATAGTCTAGTTTATGCTTGAGGCTTTTTTGCTCTTGATACTCACCTCTTGTAGATCCATTACTGGGCACACTTATAAGACTTAGTTGGTCGACATGCTCGTTGTTGGACATGAGAAAGGCCGTAAAGACGCACCAGACCACAAGTAGTATCGTGATCTTAATCCAAATTAGATATTTTTTAATCTGTGAAGAGATAAGACATAAGGTAAGTAATAGAAGTAGTTGGATTATTAAAATAACAGTTCTCAGCGTAATATAAGCAAAGACAAGTCGATTGAAAGAAAATTCAGAAATAAAGTCTAGAAATGAAATCAAGAAAATAAACTGAAATACACATACAACTGGAAAGTTTCGCATTACAGGCTCTATATAAAGGTCTATTCTCCAATTAACTAATTAATCAACTAAACGTTATTAGTCAAGTTCTTCCAGCTGTACTCATAAATTTTCTCGATTTTCTACTTACGTTGCTCTTGCAATAGCCCTCGTTCTCATCGTGATGATCCTCGTTGTTGTTCTCCAGGTCCCTAGAGGTGCGGGGGTATCACAGAAAACTGGTTGCACTAATTACGTAACTGACAATCGAGTCGAACAGAACTACGAACCTGCCATCGAGCACATGCTGCACCTGTCCCGCCTCGTTCGTCACATTGATGCCGATCTGTGTGAATGCACGTGGATCTTCCGCATGGCCATTGCCATGCTGCACCGTCTGTTCATTCTGGCGGACATCCTCTGAGGGTAAAAGCTCCACATCTGCAATGGATCATACGGAAATTATATTAATACTATTGTGAATGAATATTAGAATGAATGAATTATGATAGTGATAATCATAATGACATTACAAGTAGAAATGACAATAGTAATGAGAAGAACAATGACAATCACAATGGCAATGGTATTGATAATAGTAATGAAAACTATGCATTGACAATAACTATAACAATAATTATATCAATGAATTGAAATGATAATGCATATAAAAATATTAATGATAATAAAAATATTACTCCATCATATTTCTTAGCTAAATTAATTTCTTGCATCTACCCTTGTGGAAAATTGGTAAATATTTGTAGCTCGATTTGCTCATTGGCTGCGCTCACATCGACAGGACTTTGCTGACTGGCAGCAGTTGACATTGGCTTTCACATTTTATTAGTCTACGGGAAACTTGTCTAAAACTAGTCGCTGCTGACCCTGAACTAAAGCCATTTGCCAATTGACCACAAGGATACGCGACGCCAATATAATTTGCCACGAAAATATGCTTCAATTGGTTTCTTGGGCTCCATTAGCATCGCATCGTTTCGCATTGCGGAAGTTATAAAGGCCGTCCCATTTGCATATTATGCTAAGTCCAGAAATAGTAGTCCCCATCAAACAATTTAAAGTGATAAATATTGTCGCAATTGAGACCCAGCGACACAAAAAAAAAGCTGAAGAAGAAGCTGAACGAAATAAGCCCACTTGAGCCTGTGGCCAATGTCAATGCCGAATCGGGTGGGTAATAAAATTTTTACAATAATTACTGCAATAAAACAAGTACCTATATAAAAATAAAATAAAAACTCAATAGTACAATGTATACCAAGTCTGTTTTGGCAAGTCGCAGTTGTAATACGCTGCTTTGTTTGACTGATCATTATCGATAAGTAGTCGATGAGACATTATACAAATTGGTGATCTATTGATATGCAAAAAGTATTACATTGTTTAATCAACTGATTTTTTATTTGATGACTAATAAATAAAATCCTTATTCTGATTTTTCAATTAATCAAACGTAGCGATAAATTAGTTGTGGCATATCGATGAGTTATCGATAGTTAATCGTTTTAATGAATCTTCATCAAATTGAATATGTTTATTTTTGCAGGCGGGTTATTTTTGAGAACATTGCTCTTTATATTCCTTGCCAGCACACCATTTATCGATAAGTAATCACTGCAAGAGATTTGTCCAAAATTGATTAGGCTTTACGCTAAGACTCTTATTAAAGGATATTCTCCTAATACGCTCTACCTAAACATTAAAACGACGCACAAGTAATATATAGAGCATATGATTTGGGGGGAGCCCAAATAAATGTTTTCTAGCATTAAATATAAAATGTCGTAGATGGGGATGGGGATGGTGATGGAGAAGCAGCAGAGGAATATAAAAAGCTGATGGCTTTTGTTCCAATGGGGAGAGAAAGAGAAGGACTTACCGCCATGTAAACGCTCGTGCTCCTGCTGAAAGGAGGCGAGACTGGGATCCTGACGTATACGCTCCGGCAGTGTGCGCCACACTTGTAAGGCACCTTCCGTTACTTCGCTGCATGTGTGGCAAAATGGGGGTGTGGCCGGGGCGTCGGGCGGACGGTCATGACCATAAGTTGTGCGTTTGCATCACGTTGGGGAGCCATGAAACGAAAGAGAAGGCAAAGCCAGAAAAAAAGGAACCGACGTTAAGATGTTATAGGATTACTTTAATACAAATACACGCGCATAAATACAAAAATTTGTTTGTTCAGGTATATGGGCGTGGCCAAGGGCGTCCCTACGCTTCACCCTCATCATCTGTCGCCAATAAACTGTTTGAGGCCTTGCTATTGCTATTGATTTTTTTGGCTCTTTTTTCGCGCAACAATTTGTAGAACTGCCTAAAAATTGCTCTTTAAAGAGGTTTCAATTTTTTGTAAGTAAATTCAATTGTGGTCTTAGCATGCGTGATTGTCAACGTGATTGACATAGAGAGACCCAAATGGGAATTAGGCTAAGAAGATGCGATTTCAGCGAAATCTTCTAAAACAGTTTTCGAATCAAAGCAAAAATCGAATGGGGTAACGCATGTAAGCAGCTTACAGGAAGTAAAAACTGCTGGGAATAAAATCTATAGCTGGGGGAATCACCAAAAGAGATATAAAAAAAAATTCTGATATATGAGATTTTTGTGATTGCCATGGAAATATACATAAAATATTTTGTGATATCCATAAAAATGAAAATGAGAAATGAAAAACGAAAAGGATTTTAGTATTTTCAATGTATCAAGTTACGCGCTGAAGATATCATAGATTGTGGGGCTTATTTTATTATAAGTGAGTTGGGCAATCAAGCAAAGAGGATCTGGACTGGTGCGTGGCTATTGTGCTATCTCAGTTGAAGCTGACAATCAGCGAAATTTATTGCCAAGACAAATATTTGCATACATGTTTCAAATGTATAATATATATTCATTTTTCATTTATTTTCCATTTCATTATCAGAACAAATAAAAAGAAAAATTCTTAAAAATTATTTGCTAGCTAATTTAATTAGCTGTAAAATTTGAGCAATTAAAATTTTTAATCGATTCGAATTTACATTTGGCTAATTACAGAATTTATATGTAGATGGGCTGCTTGCCTAATTGAAGGTCTTAGAAAATATTTCAATTCTTATGCAAATTGTTGGCCGAGACTCAATCAAAGTCAAAGGCAGTGAGAGAGACACAGGAGGGAGAGAGTGGGGGACAAATAGACATAGAGAGAGTGACTAATTTGAAATGGACTTAATTAGGCACGCTTTGGATTTATTGTAAATCGCAGCTGTGTACAACAAGCCAAGCCAAGCCATGGCAGGTACGGCAAGAAGTGGATCTAATAAGTCGTCTATCTGGTTTATCTGGCAAGTGCGTCTTTGTATTCAATTACAACTGAAATGCGAGTTTAATGACATTTTTCTAGCAATTAGATTGTCAGCACACACAGCTGGGACACTGAAAAGAATAAATATATACATACATACATACATATAACATTAGATATGTTTTTACGCTCTGAACCCATTGGCATTATGTTGAAATGTATGTAACAGGTAGGTGGAAGAGTGGCTGTTGCCATAGGGCATATTAAGTCTTCTTCAAGATCAACAGACAATTTGGTTTTATTCGTTTCTTTCCTTTCACATGTCTGCCTGGTTATCCTAGAGTCTATCCACATATCTATCCGTTCATCCGCTTCCCTCTCTTACTGACTGTGCATATGTCTATGCGTATATCTGTCCTCACGTCCATCTATTCGCCTTTCTACCCATACGTTTGTTTTTTTATCTGTCTGTTTTTATCCTTTCCGCACTACACACAATCCTTATACTATCCTTATCCTTAATAAACAAAAATTTCTATCCATGGATACCACCTCAGCGTTTTTCCCACACAGCTACGTACGAGTCCTTATCCCTAATAAACACAAATTTCCATCTATTATGAAGTGCTATACATCAGTGTATCTCTCAGTCAGCTATATTCATACGATGCTTAGAAATGAATTTGCAAAAATTAGAATCGGCTGCATGAATAAGTCTTCAAAGACCTTCCAATTCATCTACTCAAATGGCTTGGGTCATAAATTATATTTAGTTAAATTTAGCTGATGACTTTGCACGCAAGATAAAACAGAAGCCATCAAAAGTTTCGCCCGATCTATATAATATGTATATATCCATTTGGATAATGGGGCAATTCCCGCTAAATTTCGCTGTACGAGAATTTGTTGTATGAGAAAGTCGCTGGACGATCTTTTCGACTTTTCATAGCATTTGCTAAATTGTTTTTATAGCTGTAGATAAAGCCATATATTATATATATATACAATATATAGTAACATTTCTGAGCTTTATATTATCTTGTCTATTTGCTTGATTTTGAGTGCCGCAAATCTAGTTAAACTATAATGTTCACAGAATTGCCTGAGTGTTATATGTGGGATATACATACATATGTATGTATAGAGGTATACTATGCATCGTATAAAAAAGTATTCTTAAAGGGTAAAACTAACAAAACTGACTTCCAGAGTTGAATAAAAAGTTTGTTCCCAAAAATCTCTTGAACATACCCAAGCAGTAATCATATTACCACGCATAATTTATCAATTCTGACTAAAATGATATAAAGATGAAAATCTAATAAAAATTCTTGCACATATTTTTCTTGTCACATTTCTCGGAATAATTGTGGCACGCTTCTGATTGTTTAGTCCTCAGATGGAACCCACAGCAAATTGTCAGCCATTGAATTTGTTGTGCAGAGGACGGACGCACTTAATTTTTTCGTTTGGTCAGGTTAACATGGTCAATGAGCCTACGCGAATTTGTTGCTTGACTGGGTAAAAAAAGAGACACACCGTGAGAGGGCGGTGGAGAGGAGAGAAGAGGAGAGAGAGAGAGAGACAGCGTGTTTAATACACATACTCATCCTCGTATGGGTTATCCTCGGTGCGATTACTGTAATTGTAGGACATGCTTAAAACGCAGTTTAACTCGCACTAGGGGCACTCAAGAAAAAAGTCGTTTTTATATGATATACTATATAGTATATTTATTTATGTATATGTATTTAATACTCTTCAGAGAGTATTTTGGTTTTCAGTTTTTATTCTTCTTTTAGTTTATATAGTTATTTTGTATATTTATTATTATTAATTATTATTTATTTTTCACTGCTCAGCTCGATTCACATTCACTTTGGGCTGCGCTCGAAATGCGACTGCCCCACTGCATTGATGGGTCGCCCTCGCGTTACTAACTAGCATGCACAATTTTTTACCCTATTTTGTTGGCATCGCCAGTCGAATAAATAGCTAAACCAACAAAAGTAACAAAAAAAAGAAGAATGGGGGAAAAAAAACTGAATTTTACTGTAGTTTTGTTCTTGTTTTTTTGACATCTGCGCTTTGCTCATTATTCGCATTTGTGCGTTCCCATCCCTCCCCAGCCCCGCGCGCTGCACATGCAGCTCAACGAGCTGAGCTTAACCGATCCGAGATCTGCTCAACATAACTGTCACTCAAACTTGATTGTTGCTCTTCCACACACACACACGCACACATACACAATCACCACCTCTCTGCCTCCCTCCCACTCTCTCTATATTGGTATCTCTTAACGTAAGCCCAAAAACAGCCCAACTATATTATTTTTGTTCTTTTAAATTTGACTTTGCGTGTTTACTTTATTGTTTGCGGCTCTCCCTTTCCCTCTCTCGCTCTCGCTCTCGCTCTCTCACTCTGTTTGTCTTTCTCTGTGTGTTTCGGTTTTCTTTTGTGCTTCTGTCGTGCGCCTCGGCTTTCATTGCTGGCGTTGGCTTATTCGCACTTCTTTCAATTACACTTGATTTATCATATTTGACAGTTATTCCGCGCTGCCTTTGATAACGCATGTGATC